TAAATATAAAGGGTACTCATGATTCTTAAATAAAAAAATAATTTTAAAATTACAAAAAAATATTTTAATTGCAAAAAATTATCTAAAGATTAACTTCAATATTTTAAATTTCAATTTGCTTGCAAATGGGTAGAAAAGCAATACAAAGTTATTGTAAAGTGTTGTTATAATGTTTTATTAGCTATTATAAATTGTTGTTATACTATTATCAATATTTGAGGAGTAATCAAAGAAAACTTTCATCTTTTATGATCTACTTGTTCAATTTTGATCAGGCATTCAAAAATGATGCAAAATAATCGACCTGGTTTTTTGTACTTTTTATTTCAATAAGTATTTTTTATAAAAGCATTTCCTTAAAACAAATTAAAATCATTGTTTGGAATAGTTAAATTTTATGTATACCCATTTGTGTTCATTAAGAAATGTTTACTTGAGCTTTACATTGTTTTTTAATAATTTATTGTTGAAAAAAAATGATAAATATAAGTATTTTGTATTTATGTTTTAAACTTGAAAAATTTTTTCAAGTTAGGCAAATTTTATTTAACAAAAAAAATCATTTATTTTTTCTTCATTCATTTTTCTTCAACTCATTCATAACATACATAACAACGGTCATTCAAAAGTTAATAAATTTTACTTTGTAAATGTTTTTTGTTTTTGCGATTTTTTACTTGAAATTTTAGCACATAATTTTTATCTATTAATGGTTTTAATTTGCTTTATTTTGTTTATTTTATCATGCTAAAGTAAACGCGATTGTTTAAGGTATTTTATTGTTAAACTAAATTTGCTTTTTATGGTATCAAATAAAATTGTTTATTAGCCATTATTAAATAATAATATTGAGGAAAAGTTTTCACTTTTTTGATTTTAGTTATTATTTTATAGATTTTTGTTATACATTTTTTATGTATATAACATTAGACACTTTAAATATATGTATATCTTTTAAATCTAGAAACTCACGCCTTCTATATTTAAAATCTTCAATTTAAAACCTTCTAATAATGAAAAATGATTTTTATGCAACTATGAAACTGCCAATGTATATTAAATAGATTATTAACTTTAAAATCAATTTGTTACATAAAGAAAATTTCATATTAATCTTGCTGGAACACTTGACCAAGCATCGTACTTATACCATTATAACATAATCCAAGTTTTTTTTCCACTTGAAACAATTTTTAAAAATCCATGGGTATTAAAGGTATTATATGATAGATATTGAAAATATGATATGATGGATATGCACAGCAAAGATATGTTTAGCATTTGTCATTGCAAAATAACTAAATCCAAAAGTTTAAGACTCTTATTTGCTATTTTTAATTATTTTATTATATTTTTATTATTTTTAATACAATTATCAGCAAAGGTTTACTTGATATAGTGAAGGTTTCAAAGATTAAATGTGGAAAATAACAACAGTCAACTACTGGCTGGAATTAAAAAAGTTGCTAGTTTGACCTCCAAATAGGAACTCTTGCCACAAGTGGTTTACTGGCTAAAATACTGGTGCAACATTGAGAGGTGGTACAATATTGAGAGATTTTAAGGTTTTTCTTAAATAATAAAACAAATTTTAATGAAAAAATGATTTGAACTTTAATTTTAAACATTTTTATTATAAAAAAAATCCATTATTGATAGTTAAAATAAGAAAATTCATCATACATAATTATTAGTGTAAAAAGTTAAATACAAGTTTTAACTAAGCAACTAGTTTGTCAGAAATCAGAGGCCACTTGCTTCTGATTAATTCATAAATTGCTTATAAATGAAAACTGGTAAACTATGATGGAGTTAATTTAAAAATTAAATTTTGAGAAAATCATTAGTGTCTATCTGATCATCCTGTTCGTGAAGATAATGGATTTTTTTATCATAGTTAGGATATGGAGCTTAGGAACCCAATAACAATCATCTTTACTTGGCCAGTGTAACAAAGTGTTAAGTAAATGGAGATGTAATTTGACATGAATTTGACTTCTTTATTTCATCAACTTCTGATGCCAAACCAACCCAGTTAAGCATATCATATTTGCAGATATAATATTTTCCTGCAATGATTTCTTAAAGATATTGTGTTGAGCCAGTAATGTTAAAGATATTGTGTTGAGTAATGTTAAAGATATTGTGTTGAGTAATGTTAAAATAAATTTCTCTTGCTCAGAGATTCTTTTGACATATTTATTTGTTTATTTATTTGTTGCCTCCTGTGGAATTTTTTTTTTTTGAAGGTAGAATTTTTAATCATGATTTATGAACTGAAAAAATATTTTTGCCTTTTAAAACAGGTTGATGCCAAATTTGTTATCCTTGAAAAATTTAATATTTCAGCATTCTGAATCGGTAAATTGGATATTGAAAACAAGCACTTGAAACAAGTTGTTTAACTTTCTCACCAATGCCATCACATAATGGCTTTCCATGTGATGTCGCAATGAAATTTCATGGTGATGGCCAGCACAACCATCAAAAAAATGGTGGATTTTCAGGGTATTTGGAAACATTTCTTGCACAAATTAGACAATTCTTTTTATTATACAATAAATTATTCCATTAACTGTCTTAATAGCAACCTGCCCATGTTTTTTATAAATAACTACATAATGTAGTGTGCATTGTTGCTAGCACTAATGGTAACCCTGGATTTTCTTTTGTATGATGAATTTGAAGTTTCTTTCAAAATCAACCAAAACAATAATTTAATTGGAATTATGGATGACTTCTATTTATTCAAATATTTACTTTGTGCTTTAGTTATTCAAATATTTACCTTGTGCTTTAGTTATTCAAATGTTTACCTTGTGCTTTAGTTATTCAAATGTTTATCTTGTGCTTTAGTTATTCAAACATTTAACTTGTACTTTAGTTATTCAAATATTTATTTTGTGTTTTAGTTATTCAAATATTTACCTTGTGCTTTAGTTATTCAAATATTTAACTTGTACTTTAGTTATTCAAATATTTATCTTGTGTTTTAGTTATTCAAATATTTAACTTGTACTTTAGTTATTCAAATATTTATCTTATGCTTTAGTTATTCAAATATTTAACTTGTACTTTAGTTATTCAAATATTTATCTTGTGTTTTAGTTATTCAAATATTTAACTTGTACTTTAGTTATTCAAATATTTACCTTGTGATTTAGTTATTCAAATATTTATCTTGTGCTTTAGTTATTCAAATATTTAACTTGTGCTTTTTGTGCAATATAAGAGTGGGATGCACTCTTATATTCTCACTTAACTTTGATGTATTTCAGCTGCTTTCCCTATGAATTTTGCAGTAAATCTAGAACCAATCTCAAAATTTGAGTCTCTTCTCTTCTTTATGCTCTTTTCAACTTTTCTTGGATTGAAAATATCAGCTTATATAGATCATCAACTTTCTTCTGATATTCAATATTGGGCTCTTCAGTAACATCATTTTTCAGGTCTGTTGCATTAACATTAAGGATAACTGATAACTTTTTTCACATAATATCAGTAGCATTGCATTGATTTTTTTCTTCCTAGCTTGCATTGATTGATAGCTTGATAGCTTGCATTGATTTTTTTCTTCTAGTAGCATTGATTGATAGCTTGCATTGATTGATAGCTAGATAGCTTGCATTGATTTTTTTCTTCCTAGAGAAATTTTAGCATGTTATAAACCCCATGAAATTTTATTGGTAATACATCTAATTTATAAAAACTGATGTTTATAAGTTTATTTTTTTGAGCAACTTCTATATCTTAATCTAAACTGGTGTTTATAAGTTCTTGTGCAACTTCTATATTTTCATCAAAAAATGTTTGTTCAAGAATATCATCTTCACCATTGTGGTCCTGCAAGACAGACCATCATCTATTTTTTTTTACCACTTTTTGTTGACATGAAGAACACATTTTAAAAGTGTTGTTTCTATACCAGTTGATGTGCTCAACAGGTATAGAAACAACATTGGCAGACAATTTTGCCAGTTGAATGTCGATTTTTTGCAACAGGTATAGAAACAACATCTTTTGCCAGTTGAATGTCAATTTTTTGCAACAGGTATAGAAACAACATCTTTTGCCAGTTGAATGTCAATTTTTTGCAACAGGTATAGAAACAACATCTTTTGCCAGTTGAATGTCGATTTTTTGCAACAGGTATAGAAACAACATCTTTTGCCAGTTAAATGTCGATTTTTTGCAATTAAATGAAATTAAGTTTTAGAAACGATATATTTTAAAAATAAATATAAAATTTAAAATTTAAAACTAGATAAAAGTGTACTGAATTTTTTCTAAAAAGAAGCTGCATAATAAGTTAAGAACAGATAAATTTACTATTTATATTAATTTTATGCCTTTTAAATGGGTCAATGTAAGTTTTTAGCAAAAATTTATTTAAATTAGGGCTTTTTTAAATTATAGGTTAAATTCTTTTGTATAAATTTGGTGACTGATAAAAACTGTCAATGTATTTTAATTTTAAAAATATCATAAATACATTTTTTTTTTTTTCACAGGAAACACATTTTTTTTTTTTCACAAAGTACTCCTATATTTTTATAACAAATTTCAAAAAACCCACCTCAATTTTGCACCAAAACACACGTTAAAATATCTATATTAATCAAAGCAAAAAAAAAAAAATTCAAAAAAATTTAATACTACCATGGTTGTCTTTATTAGAGTTTCCGAAATAGCTATAGGTGATGTACCATCTCTATATTGAAATAGCTATAGGTGATGTATCATCTCTATATTGAAATAGCTATAGGTGATTTTATCTGTCTGTCTTCTTTAAACTTTTTGTTTCTAATAATTAATACTTTGCAATAATTACAAATAAACTTTTGTAAATTATTAACAGTCTTCTTTAAACTTTTTGTTTGTAATAATACTTTGGAATGATTATCATAAACTTTTGTAAATTATTAACTGTCTTCTTTGAACTTTTTGTTTGTAATAATACTTTGCAATGATTACAAATAAACTTTTGTAAATTATTGCAGGCAACAAAAATTAAATTTATGCCATTTAAAAGAAGTTGAATATATGGAATTAAAAGAGAAGCGTGTGGAAGAAATACAAATGCAGATGGAGATGTTAAGAGTGCAAGATGCTGAAGACTACAATATTTTAAAAGCAAAACTTGAAAATGAGGTTCAGGTTAGTGTTTTTTTTTTTAAACTATTTTATGTTATGTAAAAAAACTTAAATAAATTATTAAACATCGTAAATTGTAAAAGGTAATATCACAAAACACACATTATCTCTTGCCTCCACATGCTGATAGATATACAACCAAAAGTTTTGGATAATTAGGCTGGGACAACAGAAGTTTTGAAAAGTTTTGAAAAGAATTTTTTTATTTTTAAATTTTATTTAATCTGTTCATAAACATTCAAAATTACTGAAACAAACAAATTTAATTATTTAAATAAACTAAATGGGTAACATTTAGTTTGTTTGAATGATAGCTTTTAGTTTAAATAGTATTTAAACTTGATTGATTAAAAATGATTACAAAAACAAGCATTTGAATATTACATATTTTTAGGAGTGTTCATGCTATGAACCATAAAGAATGCCATGTTTAATTTCTCCCCAAACCTTTAATTTTATTTCTTTTTAAAGTAAATGCAGTTTAGATAAGTATTTTTCAAGTGCAGAACACATATAAAGAACAAATCTGAATTTGATCAAAAGAGTAAGCAGCTCAAGTTTTAAAAAAGTAAAAAGGAATCCATAATTTAACCTTAAAAACAGATTTTCAACTTCTTTATTTTGAATAATTTCAAAGTTTTTAAAAGAAAAAATAAAGATGGCTGATTTAAAACACTCTGTTAGTGCAGTTTGTTTAAAAAAAGAAGTGAATATTTAAAATCTTCAGCTAATGTACAACCATCTGTCAGATCAGGTCAAGTTCAGGATTTTCACAACCACCCTGCTACTAGTAACTAGCTGCTACATTTCCTGCTGCTTTGTAGTATTTACTTTTCTAGGCAAAGGCTAAGAAAAATAAACACTGACTTAAAATTCCCCTGTCTTAGGCCTCTTGGTTGATTAAAGGCTAGCGATGGTGTCTCATTGAAAATATTCATCTTAGGCTGATAATAAGTGCTGTGTTGTAGAAGACCTCATAGATAAAGACTATAGGGGTAAGTAGAAAAATTCTGTTGGCCAGTCTTGCCCCCTATTTTTTATCTACTAGACTGGTGTAGACTAGTGTTACATTGTTTCTTGTCTAGGGTGATGAGTGCTGTATCTTCTTGGCTTTACTCTTAGACTTTTGATTTGCGCCTCAGTGATAGTGATTATGTAACTTTTCCAGTTATCTCCTAAAGAGAACTTTTAAACTCAGTTTAATGTTTCTGATGCTGGCTGGTAGTAAGAATTCTTGTTGTAGCTCTCAGAGAGGCTGATTCTATTAACAGCTGTAAAATATAAGAGTATTAACATTGCTATTTAGCATATGGATGGTGTCCTTGTTAGTACTTTTGGTGTGCATTATCAAAGCCACATAATCGCCTTTACCAAAGTACTAAGGCAACTACAGATGCCATGCTCTATCTATGAATGATTCAAGTTCTTTTCAACTTGAATCATTCATAGATAGAGCATGGCATCAACCATGACAAAAATAACTAAAACCTTTTAGTTTGCGGAGAGCATTCACTACCTATTGTTTCAATCAAAGATCACTTCAACAACCCATTTGAAGATGACGAGTGAGTGAATTTATATTATAGATATAGAATAAAGTTTGCTTATTTTGATCAGTTTGTTTATTACTTGATGAGATATCAATTGTTTTATAATTTAGTTTGCTGAATTCTATTACTATATAAACGTATAATTTTACCAGAAAAAAATCAATGTTGTTTATGCGTATTTTAAATGTTATTTTACAAAAACTGACATTATATATAAGTGTGTGGGGGGGAGGGTTGACCGAAAATTGACAGAGTTTGACAAAAGAGGTAGAGGGGTCGAAAAATTGAGAAAAATCACTGACATCATTTATGGACAGCCCCAAGGTCTTTGAGTCTTTAGTCAAAAAATATATCTTATCTTATCTTGAGTCTAATAACTTACTTTCTGACAATAAATATGATTTTCAACTTTCTTGTTCTTTGACTGATTTGCTAAGTGCTTTAACTAAAAAATTTTATCTTGCATTAGATGGAGGAAGTGAGAGCTATTGCTCTTTACTTTAAGTTTAGCATTTAGAATTTTCTCTATGAGCTTGCTTCATATGGTGTATCCTGGAAAGTTTTTAAGATTATCAGATCATTTCTTTCTGCAAATTAGTTTAGTCAAAGTCATTCTCAAAATTCAACTTTCTTCTTCATTTCCATTAATTTTTAGAGAACATCTAAAAGTTAATGGAAATGAAAGAACATCTAAAATTTAATGGTCATGTATTGTTTCTAATCTACATTAACGTAGATTAGAAACAATACATGACCTTACATCTTACATCTAAAGCTCTATTTGCTGACAATTTAACTTTATACTTTGATACTTAACTTTATACTGTTTCGATAAAAAGTCTTTTTTTTTATACTGCTTAGAACAGGCAACCAATTTTGAATCTGATCTCTCTTCTTTAAAAGCTTTGAACTTGCAGTGGCTAGTAAATTTTAACTACAACAAGTTTTGTTGGAGTTAAAATCACTAACAATTGTTTACTTCATCAACTATTGCAATGTTGTTGATTTTATTGATGACAACTCTTTTACTTAGTCCTCTTCTTTTTAACATCATCTTGAATTATTGTTCACTAGTGACCTCTCATGGAAGCCATATATACAATTCATTGCAAAGTTCATTTCAAAGCTTCTGCTAAGGTTAATTCTCTTTATCTCGCTTGCAATAATCTTACTTCTGATTCAATTCTCTAACTCTAGAAATTTTTATTCACCCCTGTATGAAATACTGCTATCATATTTGGACTGGTTCTTGTAAAGATGCTCTTTCTTTTCTAGACAAGGTCCAAAAATGCATTCTAAACATGGTTGAACCTGCTTTATCTGTCAAACTTAAGCCATTCTTCTATTTTCATGAGGTTGCTCTCTTTCTTTTCTACAAATACTGTCATAGTCACTGCTCAAAGGAGCTATCATCTCTAGTTCCATCAACCAAAACTCATACTCACTTGATTTGTCATTAAGCAAATTTGCTTCCTTTAATTGTATCTGTCCCTTAGTGCTCTGAAAACTTTTATTCACCTGGTTTTTTCTTTGTACTTCAATGCTTTGGATTACCACGATTTCTTGGCTCAATACAATTAACGAGTATATTTAAAAAATTTGAGGGGATTAAATCTGGATAATGCTATGTATCATGTTTGCATTTGACTTCAAATATGATAACAGCTTGGTTTCAATATAAACTTTTTTTATATTGAAACCAAGTTGGTTTCAATATAAACAGACACTGTGAACAGCTTTACAGTGTCTTTGTGAAACCAACAATGTTTCAATATAAGCTAAGGATTAATCAACAATGTTTCAATATAAGCTTAAAAATTATCTTGTTTAATTGAAAACTACTTCTGCCGCTTGTTGCTTATATAAGACATAAATGTTTTAAATAATATATAAAAGTTTTTCGTTGCATTTATTATTTTTATTATTGCTAAAAGGGTAATTAAATTTTTAATTTTGGGAAATTAAAAATTTAATTACCCTTTATTAACTTACCCTTCTTATTAACTTAAATTTTTAATTTTGGGAAACTAAAAATTTAAGTTAATAAGAAATTTAACAGGTGTAACTTTAAGGTGGATAGTAAAAGATTTAAAGACCTTCTTTTTTTTTTAAAGGAGGTAATATTAAGTTACATAACTTAATAACTTTATGGGGGAGTAATATAAATATTATAAATAAATATTAAGTAGATAACTTAATAACTTTATTGGGGTTAAAAAAAAGTTTTAATCTACTTTAGATTCGCCCAATACAAAAGCACATTTTGAAATTTTTCTTTATATATATATATATATATATATATATATATATATATATATATATATATATATATATATATATATATATATATATATATATATATATATATATATATATATATATATATATATATATATATATATAAATCACTGGTCTCTCTGCGTGAGCAAAAGCATCATTTTTTTTTATAAACTTAGTAGAAAATTTTAATACTCACATATTAGTATCATTTTAGATCCTAGGCTATGTGAACATTTACAATTACAATCAACCTGTAGCTACAGAAATTGTAGCTACATGTTGATTGTAAATATTGCCAATATTGATGAGACAATTTTTTTTCTTTTTGATGTTATGTCAAGACCTGTTTACCATACTGCAATAGTAAAGCTGCTTTATCAATTTAGCATGAAATACTGACTTTTAAATAGTTTTTGTCAAGATATATCTGTTAAATAAATGTTAACTTTTAACAGTTTTTAACCAAAAATAATTATTTTTTTAAATGAAAAATTATTTTTTAAGAATCCTTATCTTGGTTTTTGTGGTTAAATGTCTTGGTTTTTGTGTTAAATGTCTTGGTTTTTGTGGTTAAATGTCTTGATTTTTAAATTTTAACTTCAAAACCTAAGATTTTTAACTTCTAAAACAAAATCTTGGTTTTTGAAATTGAAATTCTTGTTTTTTGACGTTTAAAACCATTGTTTTGAAGTCTTGGTCTTGATCAAGGTCTTGAAACTTATAAAAAGTTATTATAACGATAAACTTTTTTAACTAAATTTTCAATAAAATTTTTATTTGTTAAAAGCAACAAAGTTACAAAAAAAATCATATGATAGTATAAATATGATAATTATGCAATGATAGAGCTTTCTTAGTAATTGGTACAAAGTTAGAAAAATGTCCCTGTTATTACACTGAAACACTTGTTTGTCAAGTTTTTTAGAGTAATATAGTTGAGAGAGGGTTGGTAGCTAAAATTACCAAAATTTAAATTAAAACAGTTGATATGATGCAATCAGAGCAATTGGATGATGCAATTACCTTATTTGTCTATTTTTGGTGTTTGCTCTTAAAATTTTGTTGATGACTGTACAGAAAAAGCTTAATAAAATTCTGCTTTAAAGAAAAATTTCATAATTTTTAACTTTATGATTTTATTAAAAATTTTTAGTTTGTTTTATATTTGATGTTAATGTTAGATTCTTGAGCAAAACCTTCAACAGATGAAAGAGACATGCCAGTTAAATCAAGAAAAGTTAGAATATAATTTTCAAGTAGGATCTTTATATATTCATGATTTTTTGTTATGCTAATAATTTTTTTTATAGACAATTAACAATAGTTATTACTGTTTACGACATGTACGACATTTTATGTATAAATGTTATACAGTATATAATATATATAAATATATATTATATACTGTATATATAAATGTTATACAACAGTATATATAAGTGTTATATGACAGTATATATAAAGATAAAAATTATTTTAAAAGATTTGATATATTGATGACAAAAAGAAGTTCCACCAAGCTGTTTCAACTATTTACTTTGCAGCAGCAAATTGTAAAATTTAATTTTTGAACAAATTGTTTGTGTCTACACTCTTTTGTTGTTTAAATTATTCAAGTAGAAAGATTTGCAATAAACTTTCTCTACAAAACTTTTAGTTTAATGATGTGTTTTGTCTCCAGACTTTTTTTATACTTTTTTTTCTCATTATTTATTAACTCTTTTTTTTAAAAAAAAATTTGATCAATTTTATTTTCAGTGGTCAGTAATTTAAAAAAATACATAAATGTTCAAAAAAATAGTTTAAATTAAAAAAAAATGAAAAATTTCAATTTCGCGTGTGCAAAAAAAAAAGAAAAAAAAAAAAGAAAAAAAGATTGTCATAATGTAACAATTGTTCTTTTTATGTGTTCAATTATGTTTTAGCAAAATTTATTCATGCATTGCAAAATCTTATTTGGTAATAATCTGGGTTTTCAGTATTTAGTTACTTTAATTACTTTTGAAAGTTGCTTTCCCACTTTTTAGTATGATTGACAAAATTTTCCCATATTTTAGTGTGGTTGACAAAATTTTCTCACTTATTAATGTGATTGACAAAATTCTCCCACTTTTTAGTGTGATTTGAATAAATTTTTATATTTGATGACATTTTTGTTCAAAAAGAAAAAGGCAAATGAATGAACTTTTAAAATAATATATTGTTTTTACAATCAATTGTTTTTCTAAAATGATATATTGTATAACAGTATTTTTATGTTGTTGTTTTATTAAATGGATTAATTATATTATAAAATGTTTATAATATTATTTATTTATTAACTAAATTATAAAATAAATAATAAAATAAGAATAAAAATATTGATAAAAAAAAATGTTAGAATGATTTATAGAAAATTTTTGAAATACAAGTTTTTCTGCTTTTTAATGCTAAAAAAACAATTATTTTTGCTATCCCTGCAATTAATAAGAAACAAAAAAAAGTGAAAATATCAAAAATTATCATTAAAACATAATATTTTTCTCAAAAATATCTATGCAAAACCATCTAGACATAAGTATCATACCTTATAATCACATACCGAGTTTATTCTGTGTTATTTTTCTCTTTATTTTTTATTTTGTTTACTTGTTTATCAAGCCAATTGTTGAACTAAGGTTGCATTTCCAATGCAAAAACACTAGTTATAAAAAATTTACTATTTTCATTTTATTTGATTTTTTGGTATCAGATTGTTTAAAATGTAGTGATTCACAATCTACCACTATTCATTATCAATATGCAGATATATAAATATATTATTACATAGTATTGGTGATATTGTGTACAGTAACTGGTTTACTGTAAGAAATTTTATTTTATGACACTAAAATCATAAAAAAGTATCTGATCATATCCTGCTTGAAATAAAGAATTGATAGCACCTATTGAGCATGATAAGGTGGTCTTGGTTTTACCCAAATATTTTTCAGGTCTTTCACCAAGAAGTATCAAAATCAATTCAGCACATTCTTTATAGTCAACATGAAAGTTATTTCTATTTTTGTGAGTATTCTCTTCAGTCATTATTTTGCATCGATTTGAAAACTTCTGTAATTTTAGGGACCTACAACCAGCTTCTGTGATATTTGGTCAAATTCTCTGAATTGAATAAAGTTAATGTTTTTAGGACCTCATGTTGCATCTAATAATTTTTTGTGAACAAAACTCATTATTTTTTCATTTATTTCAACAAGCCAGTAGAAACAACCTTTTGCTGAACAGTTTTTTTACAAACTCTACTTTTATATCTAAAGTTATTAGCTTTAGAATTAAAAACATCGGATCCTACATTACCTAAAATTATTTTAAAAAAATGTATTCAGTTTTATTGACATTTAATGAAATACAATTACTATTTAACCAGTTACATAAGCAATGAAAATCTTGATTAACTTTTTTACAAAGATTCATAAGTGATTTGTTGATATATAAAAAATTGGTATCATCAACATAATGATGTACCTTAGAATTTATTAATGAACAAGATAAATCATTTATATATAATAAAAACAATAACAGTCCAAGAACGGAATCTTGTGGAATGCCATATTTAATAACTTTATTTGTGGATTCAAATCCATTAATTGAAACGAAAAGGGAGTGCAATCTCTAATATATGAAGAAAACCAATGATTAGCAATATCACGTATTCCGTAGTAGTTTAACTTTTTTATTAGAATGTTTTGATCTATCAAAAGCTTTTTGAAGATCTATGAATACACCACAAGCAAAGAAGCCACTGTCAATTTTACCACAAATCATTTCAGTAATTCTTAATAAGAAGTGGAGTGGTTTGAACAAAACCCTAACTATTGAATATGAAAACAAGTAGAATTATTCAAAAAGTTATAAGTACAAGAATACACAAGTTTTTCCAAAAGTTTGCTGACATTTGATAATAATGAAATTGAGCTGTAGTTATTACATTCAAGTTTTGTGTCTTTTTTATAAATTGAGATAACAGAAGCAGTTTTTAAGATATCAGGGAATACACCGGTGATGAATTAAATAGTTTAGAAAGTACTGGAGAGATATCATTTGCAAGAGCTTTAAATATAGGTATTGGAATGCTGTTAGGTCTGAAGCCTTGCTGTCATTAAGAGAATGAATAATAGATAATACTTTGTTTTTGTCTGTAGGTTTTATGAATATTGATTTAAGATTAGGATTTTTAAGATATTTATAAAAGTCAGTATTGAATGAGTGCCTTTTTCTGTAATTCTTCCGGAACTGAAACATAGAATGAATTAAAAGATTCCAAAATTTTAATGGGGTCATATATCATGGAGTTGTTACAAAATAAGCATGAAAGATATGAGTTAACTCTCAAATTAATGTATAATGTAGATTTAAAATTTTTGGCATTATCAGAGAAGAACTTAGATTAATAGTTTTTTTACTGCGACGGGTAAAAGTAACAAGTAAGTTTCTATACATTTTATAAGATTTTTCTAGATTGAGTTTGTTGTTAGGATTCTTTGTTTTAAGAAATTTGTTAAATATTTTATTTCGCATTTTAATTGATGTTAAGATCCCTTGTGTTATCCAAGGTTTGAGACCCCTAGATAAGCAACGATTGCTGACTTTTTTTAACGATGCATTTTTATCTAAAAGAGAATTGAAACTTGTGAAAAATTTTTTAAATGACTTATTAGTATTACCTTCTTTGGCATTGAATACATCAGTCCAGCTAATTTTTGAGAAATCACTACATATTTTGACGCAATTTTTTTTTTTAATTCCGGCAAAAAATGCAGCATTTATGAGGATTAATTTTGGTTCAATAAAATGAACCAAAATTAATCCTCGCAAAATAAAAATTGGGGTAAACAATCTGATACTGTAAAAGTAAAATTACCTGCAAAAATATTTGTAGAAGTTGCATTAGAAAGTATGTTATCAATTAGAGTTTTGGAGTGATTCATGATTCTTGTTGACTATGAAATAAAGAGAAGAAAGTTATTAAAAGCAATGACGTCTTTTCATAACTTTCTTATATTTAAAGAAACTTTCTTATATTTAGAAAAATTTAGAGACAGAATTATCTGAGTTTGCTAATAAAAGATCGACATTAAAATCACCCATTAAAAAAGTAGTTTTGTTTTTTTCCATAGATAGCTTTTCAAAAAGTGGAATTAAATATGATTTAATAATTTCTGGAATATCCATATTAGGATGGCGATAAATACAGCCAATAATGATGTTTGATTTTTTAGAAAAGGTGATTTCCGCAAACGCAGATTCTAAAAACTTTGGTTTAAGCATATTAAGATTGTTTTGAGGTTTGTAAATTAATATATTAGATATATAAAGTAAAGCTCTTACAAAATAAGATTTTGTTGGAACGTGTTTATAAACATAATCGGTAAGATTTAATGGGATAGTTAGTAGGATGTCATTTTTTAGTTTAGTTTCAGTTATGCCAATAATACTGAATTCATGGTTAATAAGAGATAAAAGTGAGTTTGATTCGTCAAAATTTTTTATAAGAGAAGCAATAAAAGAGAAAAGTTTTTGTCGATGTTGGCAGAGTTGAAACATTCTATATCCATTTATTTACAATTAGTAGGGTTTTCTTCAAGGTTTACGTCATTGTCATTGTTGTTATTAAGTTGATGGGAAATGAAGTCATTAAATTCATTATAAAGATTAGATTCTATGGTGTTTGAAAAAGATTATGTTGTTTTAGAGTTCATAGATTCACTTCATCATTTATTGGTTGCTGACGCAGCTCCTTATCAGATAAAGAACTAAATGGAAAAATATATTTTCTATGTGAAATACAGAACCAAGATGTTTTAGAGTTTTTGAATATCGTAAATTCCATAGCATTCAGGCGACAGCATTTTTTATGAAATGGTTAAGACAATGATTACATTGTAGGTAGTGATGGTTTGTATTAATTTTCTTGAAACAATCTAGTGAGTAAACATTTAAGTAGTACATTTTAAAAAACAGGGTGGTCAACAGTCCTTGAGTACCTTGAAAACCTGGAATTTGGTAGGTCCTGGAAAAGTCCTGGAAAAACACCTCTTTTAGCAATAAATCCTGGAAATCCTTGAATATTTTTCTCAAATACTTTAATATTTCATTATAATGTTTTTACCTTTTACAGAAATATTATTAATATTGTGTAGATTTCTATTGAATTTATTAATTATGTATTTTCTAACTTGCAAAAAATTTTTTGCTAACTGTTACTGTCAGTATTATT